AGAGACTGGTTTCTAACTGTCTGGGAACCCAACATCACTGTTGGGCATCTCCTAAGCTGTAAGGATTGCATAGGGCGCCCCCAGCCCACAGAATCGCCCTGGCTCCTCCTCTTTCCTCGTCATGCCTCATGCCAGGCTGCACCAGAAGGCTCCTGGGAGATGCTCACCCACCCCCATGCCTGTTTCCAGTGGCAGCCAGAGTTCCTTTTTGTGCTGGCTGAGACAAATTCCAGTGTCCTGGACCAAATCTAAAGCAAGACCTGCAGAGTGCACGTGGAAAATGAGGAAGCAGTTTATTGAGCAGCTAAAGGGAGCGAAAAGAGTGGGTTGAGTACATTTGTTACACACCAAGCAGGAAAGGCTACACCATTCCCAATGTCCCCTCCAGCCAGAACGGGCGTGCCACGGCGGGCCCCAGCCGTGCTCGCGGTGTAGAGCCGCGGAGCCCAGTGTAGACAAGGTAGCAGCCGCCCACTTCCACCCTCCACTCTGCTCCTGGATGACAGTGTCAGTGCCCCCTTTACCCTCTTTACAAAACGGCCTACTTGTTCCCCGGCAGAAAGCCCTGATTCTCCAGGCTCTGCCTTCTTCCCCTCTGGCTCACGGGTGTACCACCAGCTCTTGGAGCGATGGTACCTCTAGTTGAAAGTATGGAAGCATCCTTGCTAGGGGCAGACATAAGCCCCAGATCCCACTGTACACCCTCGGCTAGCTGCTCCCAGTCTCGGCCACTTTCTGCAGCGTGCCAGCTTCCAGCCGTGCTTTAGTTTTCTGCAGCGAATATTCGCAGAATGTTAGAAAAGCACAAATCATTTCTTGCTTATTGTGGCGGTTCCAGCAGTCACTGCTACTATGTATGTGGAGAAACTGAAGGGGAGATGGCAATGTCCCATTAAGGGGTGGCACCCCAATGGGCGGAACAGGGGTGTCACTGGCTTCTACTTCTGCAACAGAACGTGTATGTCTCCAGTACAAGCTTGTAAAAAAATACTTTAACAGAATATACTGTACAGAACTAGGATTTACCACGGTATATTACAATGCTAAAATATTTGTATAAATACTATACAGGCACGGAGTCACTCCATTAGAAAGGGCTCACCAATGGGATCATTAAAAACTGCTGTCGGCACGCCCAGTGAGAGACTACTTCCATGGCAGGAACACGGAGGGAAGGGGGGCGCGGGCACGCACGCGCTGTGGGAGGCGGGTTTACCGTTCCCACCGACTGCGCCACAACAGAAGCATCTGAGCCACGTGGCGAGGCCGGCCTGTCTTAAAAATACATTTTGGAATAACACTTTTGATGGGAATTGTCACACTTTGCAAACTAGCCATGTAGACCTTCCTTCTCCCGAGCCATCTCCTCAGGTACCTGCCCAGGGAAATCGCTTTCTCCCCGGCACACACACTCCCTCCACCACATCCGCATCCCGGACACCCGCCCCACACCGCCCTGCGTGTTCCAGTCACCTGCGCCCTGTGCATCCCGCCGCGCTGAGTCACTGGTAGGCATTGAGTGCAAACAAGGCATGAGATGGAAGTACCCGGAGACCCAGCTCCAGCTCCAGTTCTGGGTGGGGTGAACAGAGAGGCAGAGGCAGGTAGAAGACAGCGCAGGTCCAGGTCCACTTCCGTCTGTCCCAGGAAGTGGTATCTAATCTGGCATCTCAATATTTAATTTGGGAGGTGGGAGGACATACTTCCCAGGGCTCTGGGTGATAACCACTCTGGTCTTCTTTCGAAACATAGGTGCAATCTTAGGAGGTTCTGGAACTGGCGTCTCTTCAGTTTCCTCGTTATCTTCATGATGGAGGTCATAGGAAATGTTTCCGTATTCTCTCAAAAATGGGAAGATTTCAAGCAGAAACTGACAGAAATCCTTACGAATACCAAACCACCCTGAAAAAGAAGAAATGTACTTTCTCAAACAATAGCATCCACTGAATTTCGGGCTATTGTTCTTTCCTGAATGAGGAGTTTTACTTGTAGAATGCAATGCTTTATCCTGATGTCTTAGGAATGGAGACTGGCCCAGACCACCTGAATCAGAAACCATGGGTGGGGTGGGCAATCACTTGTACAGGTCCTCCTGGGGATTCTGATGGGTCATCCAGTTTGGGAACTACCGTTCTGGGGAGTCTCAAATACCGGTGGCGCCTAGACCGTGCTGACATCCTCCAATCTTCCTCCCAGGAGAAACTCATGTATAACAAAGAATGGCATCCAAGAAAAGGATTTTCTCTCACCCTCTGGAATCCAGGAAGATAGCAGGCAGGTGTTGGTCCAAGCCAGGAGGTGGCCTGAGCTCAGGAGGCCACCTCAAAGCTACTTCTCTAAGGCCCACTCTTCCTGTCTGTGCAGCACTAAGCCATCAGCTCAGTGGTGGCTCTCCTGGGGCACCCCCCTGTTGCATTAGTTTCTTGAAGGGTGTGATCTGGGGCTACATGCAAAGGAGCTAAAAGTCTAGTGAGGAAGGGACCCTCATCAGAGCACTTCAAAACTGGCTGTCGCAGCATGCAGGCAGTGAGGAAGAGCGAGCGAGCCAGGCGCCACTGACAGACTCGGTGACGTCTGGAATGACACCGGGGAGAGCGAGGAGGAAACAGACCCCAGGAGGACTCCTGGGGTTTGGTCGGTGGGGTGTAGTTTCCTCTAATCCTCAGGGGGCCCTGGGAAGAAGGTATCTTGATTGCCATGGTGCAGCAGAGGGGATGGAGCTCAGCAAGGCTGCCTGCCACCATCTATCCTGCCTCAAGTCGCAGAGCACACTGCTGGGGAGGCCACGGTGCAGCACAGCGACAGCAAGGCTGACAGAATGCCCTTCCCCTGGAAGATTCCAGACCCTCCTCAGCCCTCACTTTTCCATGCAGACTCCTCAACTGGGGCCCTTAGGCTCTCTTTTCATAGAGTGGGGCCACCTATACACACATACACACACACACAGGCACACAGCCACACATGCGCACACGCGCGTACACGCACACACACACACACAATGTTCGAGGACTTCTGGAATGCTGAGTACATACAGTGGTTTCCGCCTTTCTGTCCAAATGTGGTCGCCATCAGAGTGATCAAGGAAAGCCAAAGGGGGACAAATATCGGGATACAGGAGAATGCATTGTGGCCATCCAGTTTGTGGACCAGCAGGATCTAAAGAAAGAGAAACAGTCAAGGTTCTGTTGATGGAACATCTGAAAGTAGACACTGTCTGCAGCCAGACTGCCCCTCCCTCATCAGCTCTCCTAAGGGGGAAGCCAGTGCCACAGGAGACTGCAGAAAGCCCAGCCTTGGGGAGAGGACGGCATGAGCTTCCTTCTCTCTCCTCAGGACTAATCAAAACCCATCCACCGAGAACATTTCCAACAGCAGAACTGTAATGGGAAACTCTTCTTGGTGATTTTTCTGAGGAGTCAACAGTGGCCGCGCCAGAATTCTCCACAGGACTTGAATACAAAAAGCCAACATCCATCTCTGTCTCTCTCTCTCTCCCCCAACCCAGACAAATCCATACATTCAGATGCATCATGGCTAGAAAGGAATGCTTCTCACCGCCAGCCCCTAGGCCCCCGAAGAAAGGCCACTCTGACGGCCTTCTGGGCCAGTGGGCCGCCCTTACAGCTACGCACGGTGCTGTCGCAGGGCGGCGGGGGCTGCAGGGCCTGAAAAGTTCTGCCGAAAGCTTACCTCAAAAGTAAGAAGCGGCACGACGATAGTCATCCAGCTCAGCGCCATCGTTATGTGTGTCCTTCGCTGCTCTGCGATCACGTCCATGGAGCGCAGAAACAGGACAGACCACACGATGTAATAGAGGACCACCAGGCACAGAAAGGACATGAGAATCCACAGGGGGACACACACAACCTGAGGGAAGGAGAGAAAGGGCTTTAGAGTTTTTGCCCAGCAGCATCTGGGGAGGCAGAGCCATCTCCTCACTCCTCACTCCTCTGCAGTGAAGATGGTGCCAGGCACGAGTGAGGCCACGCGGGTAAGAGGACACGCTGTTCACTGTGGGACCTGCCGCCCGCCTGGGAAGCGCTTGTCCTGGTTTGCTCTCGGGCTGAAGGGCCTTGCAGCTGCTCTTCCAAAGGTCTGAGCTCACTCAGCCTGTAGCAGGCTCTACCAGCCTCCCCTCCCGTCGCTACCCTGTGCACACACGCCCCAGATCACCTGGACGTACGCTCCTCACTGATATTGCACCCTGCCAGGGGTATTTGGCCAAGGACTGGGGGACGTGCTCCCTAGAAACTCAAGCTGCCTGGGGGGCCCGGGCCCTTGGCTAATGTGCATGGATGCCAGGAGGGTTCCATGACTTGGTCCTGGCCGCTTTGCCCGGGCAGGTTCTGTGTCTGTTGCTGTCAGACCAGAAAGACTTTGTTTCACTCCAACACAAGCCCCCTTTCAGGATGAGTCCTGGGGGGCCTCACCAGGCCCCCCCATGTGATCTTTTCTCCTTCCTGCACAGCCTCTGGGATACATCTATTGTCCCTTGGTCTTGGGTTATGAAACAGTAAAACCGTTTTCTCTTGGTGTCCAGTTCTATGACTTTTTATGCATGCACACATAGATCTGCGAAGCCTCAGGCAGGACCCGGGACAGCTCCTTCACCCCGCGAGACTCCCTTGTGTTCTGCATCACTGCGTCACTCTCTCACCTCACCTGTACCCCGTGGCCGCCACTGATCTGTCCTCTATCACTGCAAGACCCTGACGTACATGGACATACAGCATGTCACCTTCTGAGACAGCCTTGTTCCAATTAGTAGCATATCTTTGAGCTTCACCCAGGTTGTTCCACATATCAACAGGTCACTTCTTTTTCTTGCCAAGTGGTGATCCACTAGTGGATGCACCCTGGCCTCTTCATCCAGTCACCCTTGAAAGGAGATCTGGGTGCCTTCCCACTTTTGGCTACCACAAATAAAGTTGCTATAGACATTTGTGCCCAGCTTCTCGTGTGGCTGTATGCTTTCATTTCTCTGCGGGAAACAGCCAGGATTGGCACTGCTAAGTCATATGGTAAAACTCCATGTTTAACTTTGTAAGAAATTGCCAAACCATTTTCCAGAGCCATCTGGCATTTCCACCAGTGATGGGCACGCATCCCAGTCCCTCACGTCCACCCCAGCACTTGGTATTGTGGTTTTCATCTTTGCCATTTTGATGAGTGTGTTGTGGTACCTCATCCTGGTTTTTATTTGCTTTTCCTTAATGGGTAATGATTTCCTTTTCAAGTGCTTGTTCACCGTATGTTTATCTTCTTTGTAAAGAATCTTTTCAAGTCTTTTGTCAATTTTGAAACTAGGCTGTCTAGTTTTTAGTTTCAAGAGTTCTTTAGCTGTGTTAGATACATGTCCTTGGTCAGACATGTGCTTTGTGAACGTTTTCTCCTAGTCTGTGGCCTGTCTTTTCATTAATTTCATTTTAATTTTGAGCTTCTTTTACAGACAATGTTGTTGGTGTCACAAAGCACTCCTGTGATCAAACTCATTTAGCAGCACAGCCATGGTGGGTGGGATGTTAGTGCCCACAACGGCCTCGCGTGGTCCCTCTTGATCATTGAGGGAAACGTGCAGTCAGACTGCTTCATCTGCGGGGACCTGCACAGAACTGGGGCTGGAAAAATGTCTTGTATGCAAAAGTGCACATCAAGCCGGGGCTGGAATGGGCAAACCCTGGCACGACCTCACCTCCCAGAGGCACTGTGACTCTCCTACCTTCTTCTGTGCATTACTAGTTGAAACCACACAGCACCCTGTCATCTGCAGCCGGCTGCGTCTCTATCTGTACGTCTGTGTCTCCATCCACGCTTCCACCTCTCTGTGCACAACCTATCTTAACCCAACACCCACTAACAGAAGCCAGAGGTCACTAGCATGACTCAGACTTCACCCATGGCAGGAGTGGAAACTGGCACAGCTTCTCTGAAAAGCAAGTTGGTGGTGTGGTTTGTATTTCAAAATCCCCAAAATTTCCCACCCTCTGGCCTCGTAATACTGTTTCTGGAGTCTTTCCTAAGAAAACAATGAAAAAAAGGCAAAGATTTTTATGCAAAAAAAAAAATGCTGCAGCATGATTTATAATTGTTTAAAACACTGGTACCAACTTCAATATTCAGAGATGAGGGTAAATGCATTTAAAGAATATTCTGTATCAAACTTTAAAGGTTATGTTTATAAAGACCTTTTACTGACATGGAAAAATGCTTATGATATATTAGAACAAAAAAGCAGGATATCAAATTATATATGCAGTATATCAATTATCTTTATGAAACAATAAACCCCAAACAAGGAAAACAAAACCACTATAACCATGTCATCTCCCAGCGGATTATGGGTCATTATTACTCTATTACCTATGCCTGTCTGTCTTTCCCAAGATTGCTACAATGAACATGGATAGCTTTTACAGTAAAAAAAGAAAAGTTTATTTAAGGATTTAAAAGTTACATACAAGCCAGGGCCAGTGGATGATCTTGTCCAGTCTTAAGGCAATGAATATAAACTGGAGAATGTTGACAGAACACAGGATTTCTAACTAAAAATAAAGAGAACAATCAGTTAAACAAAGTAACAGCTATATTCAATACCACAATTATTTGGTTAACACGCTAAGAGGCAATGCAAATCATAATGCAGTGAACTTTTATTATGTTACACTTGGGACCTCCTGGTTTTCAGCAGCAGAAGAGCTATGCCAAGGGGAAACCTGCCCCAGCCTTCTGCCTCATCCCCTATGCACAGTGGCTCCCGGCCCTTGACACTCGCCCAGGTAATGACCTTGTTTCTAGGCTTGCCATGTGTATAGAGGCAATTTATGGGGGCCTCCCCAAGCTTCATTCCTGCCCCTAGCCACAAACACCTCTGTTCCTAATCATCCCTGTACTGCCTTCTTCTTGTACCTGGGACTCAGCCTTGCATCCCACCCCTTCCTTTCTGGCTCCTCGAGGACCCATCACATCAAGACACCCACTATGGATTCTTTACTGCACCTTTAACCCACCATTCCACTGATCCTGCCCAGAAGCGTAAAAACTCAGGCCCTCCTCAATACCAACACCATCCCTGGCAAAGCACTCCAACAGCCCCCTGACTAGCCTCCCGGCCTCCAGTCCTGAGAGCCCTGTGCTCCCGAATGCCCCCAGACTGTCTTCCTTCTGGCCCCAGTGCTCCCCACTCTTCAACGGCTTACCACTACCCACAGAGTGACAATCACAGGATGCCATCTGACCTGGCTCAGAGCTGCCCCAAACTTCCCAGTTCACAGGGCATTTAGTGACTCAGCAATTCTTTCAGAGGACTTTGGGCCAAAAGAAACACCTCAGCATTCCATTGACTTAAGTAATTAAATCTAAACTTAGTATTTACATCCTCTGTAGCCATCAAAAAAAGTTAAAAATAAACTGAAAGAAAAATATTATGTGTATTTCATTCTTAAATGATGACAAGTAATTCTCGTGGGATGGGCATGCCTGTTGGGCACCGCACCCCTTCTCAAGACACTTCCACCCTCATTCTCTGTTCTCCACATGGACTTTTGCACAGTACTACCTTCTCATCACAGCAGTTGCCAACAAGCTAGAGTCTTCCATGACACCATTGAAGAGAATGTAGCGTGACCTAATAATGAAACTGTAAACCGCTTGGAGCTAGTAGTTCATAGGGTGTCCCCACAGATGTCAGGGATCACTGCTTTCCCCTTAAAAATGTCCAGTATCCCATGGTGCCCTTGTGAGTTCAGCACGGTGCCCTGGGGCAGCTCGGCACATGCCTCGAGGACTGAGGATCTGGCCCTTACTCGGCCCGATCCCTCTGTGCAGCCCCGCTTCTCCCTTACTCCCGCCTTTGCCTCCTTTCCACTTTATGTCCCACACATATTTTTTATTGTGGAAAAATACACATATTGTAAAACTTACCATCTTAACCATCTTCAGGTGCACAGTTGAACAGTATTATGTACATTTATGTTGCCATCATATTACTACAGTGGTGAAACCATCACCACATTCCCATCTCTGGGACTCTCTGCATCTTTCAAAACTGTGCTCTGCTCATATCTGAGCCACTGGTCCCCTCAGCACAACAGACTTTCTTCTGCCTCTATGGCTTATGTGTTATTCCCTCTGCCCGAAAATAGACCATCCCCTTCCCTACCTGCACAGGACACCCTGGCAAGCCCTGACTCCTCCTTCCCGGCTCTGGCTGAGCCTATCCCTAGTCGCTCGCTAGCGAATGTAGGCACTCCTCCTCCTCCTGGGACACAAGAACCAAGAGGGAGCTCCACTCTTGGTGCGCTGTTTCTTCTCTTAGGCAGAATGCCAAAAGTGTGACCATATGAACGCCATCTTCCCCTAACTCTGCCCAGTATGGTCCTAGCCCTTGTATATGCTTTTACTTTCTAAGAAACAAAGCTTTCAATTTTTAGGTTTCTTAAACCTCCTCCTCAGCCCCTATCCAACAGTATTTACATAACTTTCTCAGTGCTTTTCGACCTGGGCAATGCTGCTCGCCTGGGGAGGATCTAGGAAACGTGTGGGGGCACTACTGCACATCATGACGACTTGGGGGAGCACCTCCACTTGTGTTTAGTGGGCGGAGGTCAAGGATAAGTGTCCTGAAATGCATGGGACAGTCCTGTTCAACAAAACATTTCCTGTCCAAAAGGCCAATAGCATACCCCACCCCCTACTGAGAAATACAGACCCAAGTAGGTAATATCAAGAATGTTTGATCTCAGTGGTTTTGTCTGATGTAAGTTTTTGCAAATGATTTTTAAAGCTTGGTTTTACTTCATTTGCTCAGATAATAGAAAAAAATGCAAAGCAACAGAGGCATAAAGTAGAAAGGTAAGAACGACTGGGTGGAAATGGTGCCTTTAACCAATTGAAGGAATACAGATTCGAGTAATGTTAGATGAGGAGTCTGGAGCTGGTGTAGAAACCCAAGTTTAGACATGAGAATTTAGCAAGTGAGAGCACACAAGTCGCAGTGGAGGCAGCAAGTGTGAACAAGGGTGTTCAGAGGCAGCATGCACAGGGAGGACAGAGAACACCCAAGATGAGCGCCTGACAAGACAGCCACTTGTGAGGGGTGGATGGAGGAAGGAGAACCCAGCCAAGGAGCTGAACGAAGGCGGAGGTGGCCAGGCTGGTCAAAGTAGCCAGCGGCCAGAAAAGATGAGGACCGAAGAGGCCCTGCTGGATGAGGCCACAGGGCGTCGGTGCCAGGTCCTGGCGAGCATGTGGTCAGAGTGGCACTGCTGCCGGTGAGCGGAAGGGACAGGCACAGCAGTCAAAGGCCTGAGAGGGGTTTGCCGCTATTGTTTTGTTTTCTCTTTCAAATGAGAGACCAAAGTTACCGGACAGAGTGGGTCAGCTCAGGGGCAAGCACTTATAGGAAGCGGTGGAGGGGACAGGCCTGCCCCGGGAGGGAGAACAGACAAGCAAAGGTCTCAAAGGACTGAGTCCCTGGGGAGCAGGAGGCGGGGAGCGCACTGTGCAGACGTGCACTGGGGCGAGGAGGGTCTAGCTCAGTGCTTTCAACCTTGCTCTCCTTACTGTCCCCCAAGGAGTCTTTTTAGACGTCTTTTTCCCCTAATCACACAACTGCATGAAATTTTACCACCACCAGCAAGCAGCCAGAGGGGGTGGTGCAGAGACTGCTGAAGGCTCAGGCCAGCACAGGGAAGGTGAGAGTGGGCCCTCAGAGGTCCTCTCCCGCCACAGCCTCCCAGCACCAGGGCCCAGCAATCGCTTCCCTGTCCCAGGCGCAACCGCTCTGGATGCTCAGGGTCCTGTTCCCATGGATGTCCACAGGGCCTTGTTCTACCACCCTCCCGCTGCAGACGCCTTCCTCTCATGGCTCACCCTGAGCTGCCACCTGCCAGCTCAGATGCTCCCTTCCAACCACCTGCTGTCTTCTTCCTCTGCCAATGATCCACGCGGCTCAACACAGAGCATCCACAGTGCCCAGTTCTCCTTCACCCTGCTCTGCATAGGGCTTCAGAGTTAGGCTGACTGCAACAGAATCCTGCCCCTGCATGAGCGGCCAGGAACAAACTACTCACCCTCTCTGGGAAGCAGGCATGTGACTGCACCTACTCTGCCAGCTTGTTCTGCATCGTTGATAAGATGCGACTACATGGGAAGTTCCCAGCCCACACGCCTGGCACACAGCAAGTGGTCAATAAATGTTTTCTGCAATTATTGCCATTTCCTGTATTAGTGCTGCTAGGACTGCTTTTTCATTCACATGAGCGTCCCGTGTTTAAGGCAAAAAGGTCTTGGCATAGAGCTTTATAAATACTTTATAAACAATTTCTGAATTAATAAACAGACACACTGGCACATCAGCAGAAGCTAAGCCGAGAGCAGATGCAGTGCTAGGGCATGGGCTCTGAGGTGGTGTGCCGGTTAGTTCTACATGTCAACCAGGCTGGGCTAGAGCACTCAGTGATTTCAGCAGACAGTAATCTAGGTATTGCTGTAAACGTACTGATTTTAAGTAAAGGAGATTTCCCTCGATAATATGTATAGGTCTCATCCAATCAGCAAAAAGGCCTTCAGAGCCCAAACAGGTTTCCTGGAGAGGAAGAAATTCTGCCTCAAGACCACAGCATCAGCTCCTGCTGAGTCTCCAGCCCGCCAGCCTGTCCTCTGGGTTTCAGACTGGCCAGCCCTCACATCATGTGAGCCAGCTCCTTAAACAAACCTCCTTGTAAGTACATCTATCTGTATGTCTGCATCTACATCTGCATCTGTCCTAGTGCTTGTTTCTCAGGAGAAGCTGGACTGATCCAAGCAGACACGGAAAGACGTGAAGCTGGAAGAAGCCTGCTGGCCTGGGTGAAAAACCAGTGTTCTATGTCAAGAAAGAGAAATATGACGACTGCCACCGCCTTTCATTTCCTGACGTACCAGGATCTAGAGTTAGTGTTCAACTTCTTCCTAACAAAGGGCAAGAAGTCTACTATAGTACCTGACCAAAAGATGTGGCTTCTTAAAACATTCTTAAATACGTGAAATCTCACCTCCAGCGACCTGTCATGTCGAAAGCCCCAAACACAAGCTGCAACAGACACCGGGGAAACGAAGAACAGCGGCATGAAGACCAGAAGCCAGAAATGGCTCCCTCTCTCGATCCTGTCGCAGACCAGCACCTCAAACATCAACAGCAGCAAGTGGATGCCCACGGCGATCAACATGGCTTTAAACTCCACACACGTTTCTCCTTCTGCTCTAAAAAGGGACAGAAGAAGAAGAGGAACACCCTCAGTTCAAAATCTCCATAGCAAGTGGGCAGCCCAGGGCGATGCCAACTGATGTGGGCACTATGGACTGTACTTGTAAATTTGACAAAAAGGCGAAGGGAAATCAGGTAGAAAGCTAAATTAACCTTCATCCTTAATAGGCGATCTTTCAAACGTCAAAGAACTACTTCATAACAAGAAATGAACATTAACAACCACACCAGATGTAAAGTTTTAACTGTGTAAAGATATTCTCAGGAGTAACAGCCACAGTTACTATTTCCTCACCATGCACATAAACACTTTTGTTCATAACTTTAAATCCAACTACTTCCAAGATTATTTAAGCTGATTGCTTCTACTGCTAAAAACTGACAAACATCCCTTAAATCTCATGATCCTCATCTCTCAATTAATTAAAAGCCATATAAATCACATTTCATGCAATATTATAAAAATAACCATAGCTTTACAAACAGTGTGGGTTATATTTCAAGAAAATATAGTAACTGGTGTTAGGTGCTATTTTAAAATGCAAATAAAATTATGAAGCCTTTTTGTTTTCCTTTCTGTTCCATTAGGATGAATTAACACCTGCAGATGGTAAAGAAGAGCAGTTAAAACTGTTCTTAAAATCAGTTTAAGCCGTTGAAGGATAATGTATGGATTCAATAGCTTAGCAATTAAAAAATAATAAGGCCACTAATCAGGAAAATACTTAATAATGCGTTTGCAACACTGACAATGTTCCATTTAAAATACAGATGAACATTTATAATGTGTCATGTTGCTAATAAATACACTCAACTTTAGGACACAGAAAATGAGGTCAGTGGTTATTTCTATGGGACCCAACAATGTTCCAATGGATAATGTTGACACTAGAATGACCACATCTGTACATTCAGGACATTCAACACACATACGATTCCTTCTCTTAAAGGAATCTTGAAAGTACCCTTAAATGTAACAATACAGAAATGTTCAAATAGCTTCTAAATATCAACTAGTGGAACTGAAAATCTTTAGCTATTTAACTTTATATTCTTTAAGTAGCAAACATTAGATATCTGAGAACAGCTCATAAAAAAGAAAAGATTTGCAGCCACACAGGTAATCTTAAAAAGAAAATCTAAGAACTTTAAATATCTAAGCCACACATGAATGTCCCATCTGCCAAGGCTCTTTGTGTGGCTATTTTCAAGTTCTTAATATATATGTGGTAACATTTTACACTATCTAAATCTTCTTTTAAAAGTTCATAACCAAGATTTAAACAAGTTGAGATGGTCCTAACTTCTACACTTTTCTCACATGAGCAGCTGCACGTGTCCCCCTTTTCCCTCTCTACTTGCCTGCTGGGCATTTCTTCACTCCTCATCTTCCTGGTGATGGTTCAGAATAGCCCCCCGCCTTCAAGTCCCCTTTCTCCTTTCTGAAGGTTCAGATTTTGTGAGGAAGGGCAGAGAGACTCTCGTGGGCCCCAGTAGCATCAGGCTCTACACTGGAGTGAGCCCACTCCAGGAACTTGCACCAGTCAAGGCATCCAAGAAGAAAGGTGTGGGACAGGGTGAAGGTAAAGGGTACACCTCTGCCCAGCCCCTAAGGCTCTGCTCTCCTTCACAGCATCTGGGCCTCATCTTTTCCTGTCTCAGGGCCTCACTATTTCCTGGCCAAGCTGCTCCCCCACACCATTAACAATCCCCAATCCCAGGAGTACGAGACTGGGACAAGGGGAGACCCAGTTCCAGGGCTGAACTGGAGAAGGATATATCCCTGATGAACAAAGCTGGAACTGTGGTGTGTAGAACTGCTCCTACAAACAGGATTGCTTTATACGTCCTTGTCTAGCACGGTGTAACAGTTCTGTATTTTGGATGCATTTTAGATTACATAAGCTTTTGTAGGCTGGCTAGGAACCTAAGCACCTAAAATAACAGTGCTTTTGTTTTAAAAAAAAGGATTTCAACACTTAATCTTTAAAAACTTAGAACAGAACTCAACTTGCCTATATTATAGTTCTTATAAAGTCTCAGATAGGTAGAAAAGTAAACAGTCCTTACTTTATCAAAAGTGAAAAGCAAGATACTGCTCCCTCAGGATAGAGAGCAGATAGGTCTTATAAAGCAGCATTACCGATATTGGGGATTTCGTGCCCAGACTCCAGTTCCAACCGAGGCTCCAACAATGACCATTAACTTCCACAGCCATATTGGAGCAAAGACAGCCCAGTAACTCCACTGAATGATGCCATCTAGACGAAGGGCCAGCAGCACAGAGAACAGCAGCAGACAGGCATAGATGAGGAATTTACTAGGAGAAAAGGAAAATGATTAAAGAGGATTCACATTTATAAATATATGATATTAAAATGAAAAGTAGTAACAGCATTATTTTTCAGCACATGAAAACAGTTCTAATTCAACAACCATTCATTGAAAAAATCTATATAGTAGTTCTTAGAGGATAAGAAAAACATAAAGAAGACTAAAATAAGTTCCCTGCTTTCCAGGGCTTCCTGGTAGGAGGGAGTCCACACAGAAACATGTAATTACACTACAGCATGCCATGAGCCATAATGGTTCTATGGGTAGAGTGTGATGGGAGTCCAGGACAGGAAATTTGGATTCTGTCTGGGGTTACTGGGAAGCAGAGAAGTACTGACCCTGGAGCGGGTTCTGGAGGATACATGGAAAGCTGCCAGGCAGGAAAGGCTAGGAGATGAGGAAGTGTTCCAAGCAAAAGGAACTAGCTATACCAAGACATGGAGACTGGAAAAGGCAGACATGTCCAGGATATGGTCAAGTTCTATCACTGACTAATTATTTAATTCTATTTTAAAAAAGGCAGTCATCTGCCATGTTCCCATACAGTAATATTTTAGTACATATGTTATCCTTTTTGTGACTGATTAAATTATAAACACATAAATACATTCTCATATTTCACATAAAAGGGACTTCATGAAGAGGATATTTTTGATATATTAATTAGAAATTACATTGTTGAGGACTTCTACTTCCAGTTTTGATATCATGAGAGGAATGGGGTTTTCCTTTCCACCTTAAACAAGGAAACTAGACAAAATATATGAAACAACAGTTTTCAGACACTGGACAACAGGTAGTGAAGGACTGTGATGGCAGAAAGAAAGAAAATGAGGTAAACTCTATTATTGCTCTATTATTGTCTGGTGGCAATTTCCAGACTGAAGTAAGAAGGCAGTTAAAACCCAATGGTACAGACAATTACATTAAATGTAAGTGGTCTAAATAGCAATTAAAGACAGATTGTCAGATTGCATTTTAAAAAGCAAGACAACTATATGCTACCTATAAGAAACCTACTTTATCTGTCTACAAAGTAACAGACAGATTGAAAGGACAGAAAAGGTTATTCCAGGAAAACACTAACCAAAAGAAAGTCAGAGTGAGTATATTAATATTTGTTTTAGTCTTCTATTGTTGCTATAACAAATTACAACAAATTTAGCAGCTTAAAACAGTAAAAATTTATTATCTCACAGTTGTGTATGTCAGAAGTCCAGACAGGCTTGGTTGGTTTCTCTGCTCAGAGTCTCATAACTGAAATCAAGATGTCAGTTGGCTGGGCTCTTCTCAGGAGACTCTGGGAAGAATCTGCTTCCAAGTTCATTCAGATTGCTGGCAATCTGGTTTCTTGTAGCTGTAGGACTGAGATCTCAGTTTCTTTGCTGGCTGTCAGCTAGGGGCTGCCCTTAGCTTCTAGAGTTCTCTCTCTGATCACTGCACATAGGCCTTTACATCTCAAAGCCAGCAACAGCATACTGAATCTTTCTCATACTTCTGACTTCTCCTTCTGCCACATTGCTTCTGCTTCCAGAGAAAGGTCTATGCTTTTAAGAGCTCATGTGATTTGACTGGGTCCACATGGATAATCCAGGACAATAAACTTCACAACTGTGATAGGCAGAATTCTAAAGATGTTCCCCAAGATTCCTCTCCTCAATTATTCAATCAAACACTAATCTGTACTATCATGAAAGGACTTTGCAGATGGAATTAAGGTTACTAATCAGCTGACCTTAAAATAGGGAGATTATCCTGGATTATCCAGGTGTGTCCAGTGTAATCATATGAAAACAGAAGAGGAAGGCATACAAGCAAGTCAGAGAGATGTGGCAGAAGAGCAGAGATGAGGCAGAAGGGGAAGTCAGAGAGATTCCAAAAGTGAGAAGAACTCAACCTGCCTTTGCTGGCTTTGAAGACAGAGGAAGGGAGTCACAAGCCAAGGAATGCAAGCAGACTCTAGAAGTTGAGAATGACTCCTGGCTGACTGCCAGCATGGAAATGGGGTCATTAGCCCTACAATCACAAGGAACTAAATTCTGACAATAACCCAAATGAGTTTCGAAGAAGGTTGATCTCCAGAGCCTCAAGAAAGGGACACAGTCCTGCCAACACCTTGATTCCAGCCTTGTGAAACTCTAAGCAGAAGATCCAACTGAGCCATGCTGTACCTGTACTTCTGACCCACAGAACTATGAGGTAATAAGTTTGTGTAGTTATAAGACACTAAGTCTGTGGTAATTTGCCATGGAAGCAAAAGAAACTAATATGGTAACCTTAAAAACACCTGCAAAATCCCTATTACCATGTAACATAACATATTTACAGGTTCCAGGGCTTAAGGACCTGGATATCTTTGGAGGAACCATCCTGCCTACTGCAACATAAGACAAGATATGTTTTTGAACAAGGAATATTACCAGGCACAAACAGGGGCATTCATAATGATAAACATGTATTTGTCACAGGAGGATCTGGCAACCATAAATATTTATGTACCTAATAACAAAGCTTCAAAATATGTATAGAAAATATCAATAATTAAAATATTAAGGAGAAATAGAAAAATCCATAATTATTATTGGAAATTAACACTTCTTTCTCAGCAACTGATAGAAAACATAGAAAATTACTAAGGATACACAAGCCCGTAATAACAATATCAACCAACATGACCTAAATGAAATCGATAAAGCATTCCTCATAATACAGCAGAATACAAATTCAAGTGCAAATTCAAGTGCACATGGACCATTCACCAAGACAGAAAATTCTGGGCTATTAAACAAGCCTCAACAAGTGCAAAAGATTTTACTATAAAGTAAAATCTCTACGCATAATGAGGTTAAACTAAAAATCAACAACATAAAGATATTTGGAAAATTATCAAAATACTTGCAAGTTAAACAATACTCTCCTAAATAATCCATAGGTAAAAGAAAAAAAAACACAAGGAAAAATTTTTTAAAAAATTCTAGACTTAATGCAAGTGAAAACACAAACATACCAAACTATGTGAGCTATAGCTAAAGCAATACATAAGGGGAATTTATACCATCAAATGCTTAGTAGAAAAGATCTCAAGTCAATGACCTGTGATTCACTTTAAGACACTAGGAAGAGAAGGAACTTTTAAAAAAACAAATGGAAGGAAATAATAGATATACACACAAAAATCAATGAAAAGTAGTAGAAATATATTAGAGAAAAATCAATGAAGTGAAAAGCTGGTTCTTTGAAAAGATCAAGAAAACTGGTAAACCTATAGCTAGCGTGCTCAGGGAAAAAACCAGTAGACATAAATTATCAATATCAGGAATTAAAGCAGGGACATCACTACAAGTCCTAGAAACATCACAGGGATTAGAAGGGGATATTACGAACAACTTTATACAAGGAAATTTCTTGAAATAAAGACATTTATCAAAGTTCACATGAGAAGAAATACTTTCATATACCTTTATTTATTAAACAAACTGAAACTATAGTTGGAATCCGTCTTAGAAAGAAAGTGTCAGGCCCAGACAAAACCTACCAAACACATAAGGAAGAAATAGCACCAATTTTTCACAAACTCTTGGAGAAAATATGAGAGAGGAACATTTTCCAATTTATTTTGTGAAGCCAGCATTACCCTAATACCCAAACCTGACCAAGAAAGAAAACTACAAACCAATATCCTTCATGAAGACAGATATAAAGCCCCTAAAAATAGCAAATCAATTCCAGCAACATATAAAAAGGATATCACATTATGACTAAGTGTGGTTTAGCCAGGATTGCACGTTTGGCTTTACATTTGAAATCAATTAATGTAATTCACTGTTTAACAGAATGAAAAAGAGAAGCCACATGATTATCTCAACAGATCCAGAAAAAAAATCTGACATAATTCACTAATCATTCAAGATAAAAGCTCTAAACAAATTAGGAATAGAAGGGTATCTATATAAAAAACCTCATTAAAAATGCTTAACGGTGAAATACTAAATATTTTCCCCCTAAGATTTGAAACAAGGCAACTATGCCCACTTCAATACATCTATCCAACATTGTATGGAGGTCCTAGCCACAAAATAACACAAGAAAAAGAAAGAAAATGGATCAAGATTTGAAAGGAAGAAGTAAATCTGATGTCTGCAGGCAAAATGACTGTCTATGTAGAAAATCCTAAGTATTCCACCAAAAAAGCTACTAAATCTAAAAAGTGAATTTAGCAAAGTTGCAGGATACAAGATAAATATATCAAAAAATTACTACATTTCTATATGCTAACGATGAGAAAATGGACACTGAATTTAAAAAAAACTATCATTTACTGCAACTTACCTAGATATCTAATAATATTTAAAATTAAAAGTTTATGGAAAAAATTACCATTTACAACAGTATCAAAATATGAAATACTTCAAGATAAATTTAATAAAATATGTGCAAGACTTATACTCTGAAACCTAACAAACACTACCAAAAAAAAGAGAGATCTAAATAAGTGGAGAGATACCATTTTTATAGATTAGAAAATTCAATGTTGTTAAACTTTACATTCTCTATTAGTTTCCTATGGTTGCTATAACAAATTACCACAAATTTGGTGGTTTAAAACATACACATTTATTCTCTTATGGTTCTGGAGGCCAGAGGTCCAAAATGGGGTTCAGTAGGTAACTAAGGTGTCAGCAGGGCCCTGCTCCCTCTGGAGACTAGGGAAGAATCCATTGCTTGCCGTTCTCAGTTTCTAGAGCTACACTACTTGCACTCCTTGGGCCCCTTTCTCCATCACCAAAATAAGAAGTACAGCATCTTCAAATATCTTTGTCTGCTTCAATCACACTGCCTTCTCCTCTTAAAAATATCTCCTTCCCTCTCATATGCAAACCCATAAATGCATTTAGGGCCCAGTTGGATAATCCAGGATAGTCTTCCCATCTGAAGATCTTTAAATTAATCACATCTTTTGCTATACAAGGTAATATTCACCTTTTT